TCCTTCCTTCCTTTCCTTCCTTCCAACAGTCTCACTCTGTTGTCCTCCCTCCTTCCTTCCTTCCTTCTTCCTTCCTTCCTTCCTTCCTTCCTTGCCTTCCTTCCAACAGTCTCACTCTGTTGTCCTTCCTCCTTCCTTCCTTCCTTCCTTCCTTCCTTCCTTCCTTCCTTCCTTCCTTCCTTCCTTCCAAAGTCTCACTTTATTGCCCAAGCGGGAGTGCAGTGATACAATCATAGCTCACTACGATCTTAAATTCCTGAGTTTAAGTGGTCCTCCCACATAGCTGGGACTACAGGTCAACATGAAACCCAGATAATTATTTAATCTTTACTAGAGATAGGGTCTCAGTATGTTGCCCAGGATGGTCTTGAACTCCTAGGCTCAAGCAATCCCAAAGTGGTGAGATTACAGGTGTGAGCCACTACACCCAGCCTAATTTTTTGGAAAACTATACCCAAGCCACTAATTTTTGAAGGTGAGTTATTACCTTCAAATGACTTGCTTAGCTGACATTTCTGACCATCTCAATAAACCCATTTGGAAAAAAAAAATGGCTGCATGAAAATAACATGTACTGAAAAACATTGATGAATTCACAGCAAGAGTTTGCTTTTGGTGAAAGAATTACATGGTTTACTACAGATGGTTTTAGAATGTGAATCCTAAAGAACGGTTAAAATGAACAGAACCATATATATCTGTGCATGCCGGAAAAGAAATGTTATTGTTTCAAAATACTCAAAAGGAAAAAGTATGATGGTATTTGAAATCCACTGGCCCCATCACAATACACTTCAACATGACATACGTCAATGAGTAAACTGGAAATACCTATGAGATTTTCTTTTCTTTTACAGACGGAGTTTCACTCTCGTTACCCAGGCTGGAGTGCAATGGCGCGATCTCTGCTCACCGCAACCTCCGCCTCCTGGGTTCAGGCAATTCTCCTGCCTCAGCCTCCTGAGTAGCTGGGATTACAGGCACGCGCCACCACGCCCAGCTAAGTTTTTGTATTTTTAGTAGAGACGGGGTTTCACCATGTTAACCAGGATGGTCTCGATCTCTTGACCTCGTGATCCACCCGCCTCGGCCTCCCAAAGTGCTGGGATTACAGGCTTGAGCCACCGAACCCGGCACCTATGAGATTTAAGTCTCACTTAAGATGGCAATAGAAGATGGTGTGAATGAAAATTTCCATTTTCATAGCTGTATAAACCTTATTTCCCGGGAAGCCAACGGATGCAAAAAAAGATTGAGTGAATTTAATGAACACGCAAACAATGTTAGAAAACCCTTGCTGAAGACAGATAAGGCTAACATTCTTGGAGATCATGTGGTGGATCGTGAGCTCTTGCCAGTAAAGCTAAAAGCATTAGAAGGTGGAGACATGCTAGAAATCAGAAGGAATGTTGATAAAACGGATTTATGTGTTAAAATAAATGAGTCTTTAACGTCTCTGGAAGAAAAAGCAACCAAATCTACATATAATTATCTGAAAGTGGATAAAATGGCAGTTGCACATACAGATTATATGAAAAGTCTCCAAAACGAACAAGTCAGAAAACACACACACACCTGGAAAGTCAAATTGGAAAACGTCTACAGAAAGATAAACTCTTAGTAAGTTGTACTCCTCCCATCAATATGATGAAAGATCAGCAAATATTTAAGGTGAATTTATCCTGGAATGAAGGAGGGGGGAATCTATCCCAAGCAACTCAAAAGATCATCTATGCATTCAGGGAACTGAATGCCTATGGAATTCAAGCAAAAATTCTTCCAGCGAAAAACACTGGAAAAAACTATTATTCTTAGCAATTATCCTAAGAGGACAAAGCTCATGTTGTTTGAAAACTTAATGAGAAAATTTGGGGACTTGGTTAACTTAAGAAAATGTATGTGACAGAAAAAAAAATTGAGGGGGAAATTAAATTTTCGAAAGGTATCTTCATGTTCTTGGTGTTCAAGTAAAGCAAGGATGGGGGATGTGTAAAAGTTCTCACAGCGGTCCCAGGAATTCTCTGGATAACTGAAATCCTGAGAAAAATGTAAATTTAAATTATTCCTCAGAATTTTTTTTTTTTTTGCCTTCAAGAAACACAGGGAAAAGATTAATCCATTAGATCTACTGAGTCATGACAGCAATTTCTCCCCAAATGCAAGACTGACTCACCATAGTGTTCCTCATGCTAGAAGACAACTTTTGTGAAATAATGAAAGTATCTTTCAGCTTCAGAAATAGAGGTGACCCACCATTTGCCAGAGTGCAGTCACGTGACTTCACTTATCCACAAGAGATGCTGGGAAAGGTAGTTCAGCTGGGGAGCCATGACCACAGCTCCATACACAAGAAATACAACAACCACTGAAACTATCAAGACAGATAGAAGGGATTTGGGTGGACGACATGTGCATTCTCTAAGGCTCTGTGTTTTTGGTTAGGTTGAGCAGTCTTGACTTCTGAAGTAATTCTTTTATTAAGTTTCAGGGTACATGCGCAGGATGTGCAGGTTGTTACATAGGTAAACACGTGCCATGGTGGTTTGCTGCATCTATCAACCCCCCACCTAGGTATTAAGCCCAGCATGCATTAGCTATTTTTCCTGATGCTTTCTCTCCCCATCCAATCCCTCCACAGATCCCAGTAGGTGTTGTTCCCCTCCCTGTGTCCATGTGTTCTCATTGTTCAGCTCCCACTTATAAGAGAGAACATGAAATGTTTGGTCTTCTTTTGTTTGTTCATTTTTTCTTTGAGATAGAGTCTCACTCTGTCACCCACGCTGGGGGTACAGTGGTGTGATCTCCACTTACTGCAACCTTGACCTCTTGTTTTCAAGTGATTCTTGTGCCCCAGCCTCCCGAGTAGCTGGAATTACACGGGTGCAGCACCATGCCTGACTAATTTTTTGTATTTTTGGTAGAGGTGGGGTTTCACCATGTTGGCCAGGCTGGTCTCAAACTCTTGACCTCAGGTGATCCACCCATCTTGGCCTCCCAAAGTGCTGGGATTACACCACACCCAACCTTCACACATTGTCTTATATCCTCAACACAGCTTGGAGAGGAAGATCCTCTTAGGATACCTCCCTTGTTTTTCTCCCAAATGGAATAACCATAGCCCAGAGAGGTTGTATAACTTGTGAAGTAAGCACAGCTAGAAATTGAAAAACCAGGATGCAAATCTATAAATTGAGTCTCAGGGTCGGGTCCAAAATTTAACCCTGCCTAATCTTGCCTACTACCTCTATAGACAAGCTAAATGAATTCCCCCATCATATTTCTTAATTAGGGGAAAAATAAAAACATGTACACATCATGTGTTAATGTATGTATTCATTCCCTGGGGCTGCTATAGCAAAGTATTGCAAACTGAGTGGCCTAAACAATTTGTTTATTCTTGCACAGCTCTGGGGCCAGAAGTCCAAAGCCAGGGTGTCTGCCAGGTTTGTTTCCTCTGAAGGCTCTAGGAAAGGATCTGTTCCAGAGTCCTCTGCTTCCTTTGGGTAGTTCTTTGGCTTGTGGTAACATCACTCCAATTTTCCCACAACATTCTCCTTATGTGACTGCCTGTATCCAAATCCCACGTTCTTATAAAGACACCAGGCATATGGGGTTAGGGACCCACTTACTCCAGTATGACCTCATTTCAATAAAGTAATTACCTCTGCAACAGCCTTATTTTCAATAAAGCCACAGTCTGAGGGGGGTTAGGACTTCAACTTATGAATCTGAGGAAACATAATTCAACTCATATCAGTGTGTGAATACTGTGTGTGTGTGTGTAACTGGATATTCCAATTCCAGTAGTCAAAGCTGAATCAGCTGAATCAAACTTTCCTCTTTCCTACTACTAGAACAATTTCATATAGTGGTTTCTACTTGGGCAAAAAAAAGTTGTTATTTTTAAGTCTGTGTAGAAAACATTAAAAGCATTTTCTTTCCTCTAGCTTATTTTATTGCAGTAAGTTGACAGTTTTTGGAGTCAAAAGTTATACATGGCTGGGTGCGATGGCTCACACCTATAATCCCAGCACTTTGGGAGGCTGAGGTGGGTGGATCACGAGGTCAAGAGATCGAGACCATCCCGGTCAACATGGTGAAACCCCGTGTCTACTACAAATACAAAAAATTAGCTGGGCATGGTGGCATGTGCCCGTAATCCCAGCTACTCGGGAGGCTGAGGCAGGAGAATTGCCTGAACCCAGAACCCAGGAGGCAGAGGTTGCGGTGAGTTGAAATCGTGCCATTGCACTCCAGCCTGGGTAACAAGAGCAAACTCTGTCTCAAAATAAATAAATAAACAAATAAAAAGTTATACATGGGATTTCAACAGTTTCAAAAGCCACACCTGCTCCCTCTTTGTGGGGACCTGACTGCATCTTATGGTAAATGGATAAATATCTTCACGTTGGAATGAAGAGAAGCCATGACTAATTAGGATATAAAATGTTATGAAGAAAATCATAAGGACACTACTATGAATGAATGTATTATTTATGAAGTGGAAGTGGATCACCACAAAGGTCTTCGTCCTTATCATCTTCACATTGAGGAGACTGAGGGTTGGTCCTGCTGCCTCAGCAATGGCAGAGCCACAAGAAAATTCACATACAGGTGGACTGTGCAGTTCGGCCCTGTGTTGTTCAGGGATCAACTATGCAATCAAGGACATGGTGTTTTATCAAGGCTTTTCTCATCTCTTCAATTATCACCTTCTCAGCATAAAAAGAGTACCCTAAAGGTGGTCCTCAGGACCCCAAGCAATGAGTATTCAAACGTTTTCATTTAAGTGGCTTGAATATTATCCTTGTCACCCAGGTAAGTTTTATCTCATTATTAGGTAATGCTGTGTATTCCATAGGTTCACCATCTATCTGGAGCTTTAAGAGATGTGTTGCATATTACCTACAGCTATCAAGGTTCATAATTTTGGGGCCACTTCTACAGCTGTTCCATAAAATTTATTTATGAAATACAGACAAAACTATGCAACAATCGAATCCAGTATTTTTTCTCTTACTTTTATTTAAAATGATTAAAAATCGTTTATGACAGTTTAGACAATGGAATGGATTAAAGGCTTAAAATGTTTAGATTCCATTTAAGTAGGGCTGTGTGTGTGTGTGTGTGTGTGTATGTTACTAAAAATGCAAAGACTTTTTCACAAGAATTTAATTAAGCTCATGTTGAAATTCTTATAGAGAAAATAGTAATGAAGCATCAGACCTCACCATTTCTACAAGAGAACTTCTACGACAATTAAAAAGTGTTGCAGGACCGAATACTGAGACAGGAAATACGGGCTGTCTTCAAATTGCACGCATTATGCATGAATCCACAATTTGACACACAACTCTGAGTGACCTAATGTGAATTCTTAGTTGAAGGTATTTTACAAATTGGGGAGCTCTTTTAAGTGGCTTCCACTTTCACCCTTCCCTCTTTGAAGACCCCAATTCATAATGGGGAGCACAAAGCATAAATACTGGAAATTTTTATGGGTCCTGTATGTACATTCCAGAGTGTACATGAACGTCTAAATCTTTGGTTCTGATATTTAGGGCAAGATCTAAATGTTTTATGAACATTAACTGTAGTTTAATCAATCTGTGCAAATGGGCCCAAACCACCCTTTTCCCTCTGCCCACAAGTGTTTCTAAAAGAGAAACAAATAGCTGGCATCTTCCTGGACGTCTGGGGATTTAAGACTTCCTACTCTGGTGAACTGAAAAAGTTTAAAGCAAGGAAAGCAATGTTTTTGCCCTAGGAACCAGTAGTTACAGAATTTCAAAGACTGAAAATACTTCTGATAATCACCATTTCTGTCTCCTATGTGCCAAAACACATCAAAACTATATGATTTCCCGGGAAAAACTATCCCAAAATTTCCCCCAGATGGTTTTAACATAAGTCGTTCTGCACTGAACATTTCAAAATGCAGCCTTATTTTCTCAATAATAACTTTACGTTCAGATACAACAGAGCTGAAAGGAGGTTCAAACCTTGCTTGTGGGTGTCATAAATAATTCATACCCACTTCATTAGCAATGACGAATGCCCCATGATTTTGGACATCGCTGAAGAATTTAGTGTAGGTCCAGCATCCTTGGAACCTCAACAATATTCTTCACCTCCGAGAAGCTGATAAAATCTCCTCCCCACCAAGATCCTGTGCCTCCCTCATGCTTCCTGCTGTGTCACATCACCATGGTGAAGCGTGTGTGCATTACTGCACCATGAAGTACCTGAAGTTTTCGGAACAGAGAGCCACAGTCTCTGTGTGTGAATGAATGACAAATGGACAGAGAAAGCAATTTCTTTCTACAATGCAGGGTCTAGCTGCCTAACTCATCTTTATAACCACATCACATCCAATGAGTTAGGCAGCTCATGTACTTCACACAGAAGAAAACACACTTTAGCTCATCAAATTCTGTCAAGAATAAAAGGAAATTTCTACAACAGTGATAAACAGGGTTCTTGTTTTGCTTGAGTTTTGCTCAAAGTAATCAGGGGATCTTAAAATCTTCAGACATTTTCTGGTTCTGAAAGGAAGATTGGAAACAAATGTCATCATGGGGACAAAAAAAGTTTCTTAAAAAAAAAAAAAAAACAAGATCCAACTATATGCTGTTGCAGAAGACTTGCTCGAGATTTAGAAGAAGGAAGTAGATTAGAACAGAAAGAAATGAAGCAGAAATGGGCCAGGCACCATAGCTCATGCCTGTAATCCCAGCACTTTGGGAGGCCATGGTAGGTAGATCATGAGGTCAGGAGTTTGAGACAAGCCTGGCCGAGATGGTGAAACCCCGTCTCTACTAAAAACACAAAAATTAGCTGAGTGTGGTGGCACATGCCTGTAATCCCAGCTACTCAGGAGGCTGAGGCAACAGAATTGCTTCAACTCGGGAGGTGGAGGTTGCAGTGAGCCGAGATTGTGACACTGTGACACTGCACTACAGCCTGGGCCACAGAGCAAGATTCTGACTCAAAAAAAAAACCAAAAAACAAAAAAACAAAAAGCAGATATGAAGTTGTACATCTTAAATACATACATGGTTTGTCTATTACACCTTAAGAAAGTGAGAGGAATGAAACACCTATTTTAAAAAAAGAAAACCAACGGCCAACGATGTGCTGTCTACATGAGACCTGCTTTAGATTCAGCAGAAGGAAACAGATTAGAACAGAAATAAATGATGTAGAAATGAAGTAGTTGCACATCTTAAATATACACAATGTTTCTCTGTCAACTACACATTAACAAACCTGGAAAATTAAAAATTAAAAGTATTTTAAAACTGTTAAAATTGTATCTGCAAACAAATATTAGCTTTCAAAACATTGCTTTTTACGTTTTGCCACTTGTTAAGGATTTTGATGATCTTAAATGAACTGCATAACTTTCTCTTTGGTTAAAACTAATCTTTGTAGAAACTTCGTGTTTTGAATGTGGCCTCACTGCTCTTTATGTCATTTGCTCCGCTTTACAAAATAAAAGCAAAGTATGATTCTTAAAGGTCCACATCAAGTGACAGACATCTGCTGCTATCTGTGTAGCTCCGTTACTACAACTCTTTCTCTAGAAACTGTGCAAGCTTCGGTGTATGGCCTCAGCATGCATACAGTTCCACAGGTTGTGCACTGCACTGCCTCTCCACTGATAGTGTTAGTATACCATGCACATCATCCTTTAGGAGAGATAAAATTAACCCAACTAAGGAAAGATGGACAGCCAGGTACCATTGGCAGCAGCCTGGAAACTTAGAGTGAAATCTGCAGATCCCTAAGCCCCGTTTGGTACCAAACCCATACATAGTGCTGTCATACGCGTATTTCCTTCATAGTATAAAGGTTTTATAGCCAGCGAGGTGATATAGGCCCAGGATCCCCATAAAAGTCACTGCTCACCTTGAAGAGATTCCCCAAACATCATCTCACTCTGTCTGCATCCTCCTCCCTTTTGATCCCTTTAAGGAATTTTTGAGCGAGGGGAAGTTAAACTTGGTGCTTGGAAATACTTGGTAAAGGTAACACTGACGTGCAAGGGTAGCCAAAAGACATGAAAGAGCTTTAAGGCATCACATCTCTTTAGCAAAAACGTGCTTCCAGCTCAGATCAATGGGGCAGGCATGGTCCACATTTTCAAAACTACACCTATTTCAGAAACTCAACTGGCCCCATTCCGATAAAGCTTCATTGACATGAACAGACAGCTGGCCTGCAGGCTGTTGTCTGAAGATTTGATTTTCCTTTTGAAACACTGCACTGAAATATGTTTGTCCTGATTATTGAGTTTGTGGATGAACCCTGGCCCCTGTGGGGACATTTTGTGCTTGTGGAGGTGAGTACCTCGCTCTGCTCACTCAGTTTCAGCCCTTGATTAACAAAGGCTTAGGAATCACTGCCACAGATGCTACTGAAATTAACATGTGGTGTCTCGTTAATGATGGCTGCCATGTCGGGTGAAAGAGTGTTGCCACTGAACCCAAGAACCTGCTCTCAGGTTGCCAGGGAAATACGGCTGTTTTTCAGAAACTCAGTTTACTCTCAAAATTTCAGGACAGTCATGTAGACGGAGGCTCACCCCAAACGGAGGTTCATTAGCCAATGGTTGATACTGCACATTCACCAGCAGAGGGCGCGCAAGGGAACGTTTTGCCCATTCACCAGCAGAGGGCGCGCATGGGAAGGTTCTGCCCATTCACCAGCGAGGAAGCGCATGGGAAGGTTCTGCCCATTCACCAGCAGAGGGCGCGCATGGGAAGGTTTTAGGATTTTTTGAGGCCAAATGCACATTCTGAAGAAAACATCTTAGGAATGGACTTCCCTCTCCAGTTTCCTTCAGGGACGCAAAGAAAGTATGAGTTACAGGGCCCTGGGCAAACTCCAGGCAGATTCTGATGTGGGTGGCGTAAGGTTTAAACCAAACCTGCAGAGACCCTCAGTTAAGATTTGAGTCACTCTTTGGCTATAAAGCCTCCCTCTACCTCCTCTGACTATGGTATTCTGTGCTCTCAAGTCCGAAGTTTTTCTTCAGACCCAGGAGTGTGGAGCCAACGTTGAACCAGGAAGCCACAGCAGATCTTTGTTTCCCTGATGGTCTGAGCACAGCCTCGGAATTCCACAGACAGGCTTATAATTTAGTGTTCTGTATTTTTCTTTGTGGGTGGGGTCTGTGCAAAACATTCACATTCAACCCAGATATTTCCTGATATTTCCTGACTCACCTGTGATGAAAGTTTCACTGGATACAAAACAAAGCGGAACTGTATTTGTCTAGTTAAATCAACCGTCATGCTTAAAAACTTTTTTTTTTTTTTGGTTCTTTTTCTTTTCTTTTCTTTTCTTTTCTTTTTAGACGGAGTTTCGCTCTTGTTACCCAGGCTGGAGTGCAATGGCGCGATCTCGGCTCGCTGCAACCTCCGCCTCCTGGGTTTAGGCAATTCTCCTGCCTCAGCCTCCTGAGTTCAGGAAATTCTCCTGTCTCAGCCTCCTGAGTAGCTGGGATTACAGGCACGCGCCACCGTGCCCAGATAATTTTTTGTATTTTTAGTAGAGACGGGGTTTCACTATGTTGTCCAGGATGGTCTCGATCTCTTGACCTTGGGATCCACCCACCTCGGCCTCCCAAAGTGCTGGGATTACAGGCGTGAGCCACCGCACCCAGCCTCTTTTTGGTTCTTTTTCTTTCCTTTTTTTCTCCTCCTATTTTACATGAGACAGATAATGTGCCGCTGTCATTGTAACAAAGTTTAGAGGAAGGTACAACTCACATATGACCATGAAAACCCAATCGTCAGCTGGGCACAGTGGCTCATGCTCATGATCCCAGCACTTTGGGAGGCCGGGGAGGGCAGATCACTTGAGGTCAGGAGTTCAAGAAGAGCCTGGCCAACATGGTGAAACCACCTCTCTACTAAAATACAAAAATTAGCCAGGCGTGGTGACGCACGTGGTGAGCCTATAGTTCCACCTCTTTGGGAGGCTGAGGCAGGAGAATCTTGTCAACCTGCAAAGTGGAGGTTGCAGTGACCTGAGATTGTGCCACTGCACTCCAGCCTGGGCAACAAAGTGAAACTCCAACTCAAGAAAACTGAAAATAAATGTTTAAAAAACACATCAGTCAAGTTATGTATATTGAACTTAACCAGAAATAACCTTACTAGTGACAGAAATCAGAAAATAATTTTCTTTAAATCAGGCTTAATAATAACAAGGAAAACAAGGTTTAGAGCAAGACTTACCACGGGTCCTGAAACAATTCCTCCTACTGTTGAGTCTGAAATAACTGGCTGCTGCTCCCAGCAGTGTCACCACCACCACGGATACAATGGGAGACACGATTTTTGCCGCCATATTGCCTGCAGGAGTGGAGAAAAGGCAAGCTCACCTGAGAAAAAAACATGGCAGGCAGGAATACTGCTTAAATACTAGATTGGTGCAAGTTATTGTGGTTTTTGCCATTGAAAGTAATAGCAAAAATTCCAATCACTGTTGCATCGATCTAACAACTTCTCCATCCTATCTCTTCCCACCCCTGTGTCCACAGAAAACAAGAGAAATTTCATTTTAAAAAATAAGCAAAAGAGAGAAAAAAACTTAGAAAGTAATTCTGTTTTCACAAAGAGCCAAGCTTGTCAACCACATTTTACCACTGAAGACATCCAAGGCCAGGATTTGCAGAGGAGGCACTCGGCATTTTTGTTTGTTTGTTTGTTGAATTCGTGTGTACAGTTTTATTAATTTGATGTATTTATTTGTTATTATTCTTATTTTGAGACAGAGTCCCAGTCTGTCACTTATTCCGGAATATAGTGGCATGATCTTGGCTCCCTGCAACCTCTACCTTCTGAGCTCAAGCAATTTTCTTGCCTCAGCCTCCTGAGTAGCTGGGATTACAGATGTGTGCCACTGCACCTGGCTAATTTTTGTATTTTTAGTAGAGACAGGATTTCACCATGTTGGCCAGGCTGGTCTCAAACTCCTGATCTCAAGTGATTCACCGCCTCAGCTTCCCAAAGTGCTGGGATTACAGGCCTGATTTCTTTATTTTTTTAGAGATGGGCTCTCACCATGCTGCCTAAGCTGGTCTTGAACTCCTGGGCTCAAGTGATCCTCATGCCTTCACCTCCTGAGTAGCTGGGGTGATAGGCATGCGTCAAAACTATTTTGTGTCCTTTTAGATGTAGAATGTTTACTCATGCAAAAATATTGGTTCAATTAAAAACCGCCAGATAGGCCCACTTTCAAAGGCATGCGGGAACTCTAGACCCAACCACACACCAGACTATGCATCTTCAATGCCTCGACGGCAAATCATCCCAGACCTTCGGTACTCCTGCACAAAGAACAAGAACGACCTTGATGTGACAAAAATTGACACTTCCATAGGGTAAAAAAGGAAGAAATCACTGTTTCCATTTGAAATAGCCACCTTTCCATGCATGCCTTTCTTCAGACCGGGTTGAACACCTGGGCTGCTACGTGGCATGACACAGCTGAGGGACACGAGGCTGCTCCAATGAATGAGGCTGCCATGCTGGGGGAAAGAGTATTGTCACTGAATGCAAGAAGCTGCTCTACAGCTGGTGCTGCCACCTGCCGCCTCCTGCCTCCTGCGAGAGATAGCCCTGTATTCCTCCCCTCCCTGTGTGCACACACTGCACAATATGACTTCACAGTGTTTCCCATCCAGAGGAGGACCGCATCTTTATTTCTGAGAATCCAGGCTTTAGCCAACAGAGTGCCACAGAAGTGAAGACGTGATGGCTCTAAGCCCAGGCACGGTTCTCTTCGTGATGTTGGTATTCTGCCTGGTCACCATGTGATGAAACCTGGCCTGGCTTCCTGGAGGGATGTCAGAACCCACATGAAGCTGAGATGAGCCATTCCACCTAGGGCCCCAGATACATTAACAAGACCCAGAAAACATCTTCAAAGCGCTGGCCATGCCTACAGTTGACTGCAGACAAGAGGGAGCTCAGAAGAGACAGAAGGAGCACTAGATGGGTTTTAGCCCAAATTGCTGGCTCACGTAATCATAAACATAACAAATGGTTGTTATTTCTAGCCACTATGTTTTGGGGTCTTTTGTAACACAGCATAACTGACTGATTCACGCCTTTTCCTCTTTGCCATCTCTTACAAATCAATCAAGGACAATCACTTGTCATTACCAAGTGGTCATCCAAGCTGACCGCTTCTCTTCTCCTCCCCTCACCTGGGCTTGATTTCAGCCTGTTGTCATTTCCAGGGAGTGCTGAAGTGCTCTGAAAGGGGGTCTCCCTGGGTCTTAGGGCGCCCCCTCAGATCCATTCTTCACCCACACAGCAACAGGGGCAGGCAGACTCCTTCCTTTGAAGGTTCTATGAAGCGCAGAGTCCACCTCCGCTGACCTGGCCATCTTCCCCAGTCACCACTGCATCCTTCCCTGGTTCCTGTTGCATCCCACACCCGGCTACACAATTTCTGGTGTTCCCACGTGCGAATCCAGCTCTACCCAGCACACTCTCTTCCCTGCCACCTCGCTCTGCTCCTGGGCACCCCCCAACCCATATTTTGGGCTTCGACTTGGATATTGTTCTGTCCAGGAAGCCCTACCTCGGTCACCTGACCCAATCTACAGGATCACGTATGTTCCAGAACATTATTTGTCAGAGTTGGCTGCGATCGCTTGTTCATTTGCCTAGCCCTTTCCATCTCTGAACGTCACTTTACACCACAGAGGGGAAAAGGAGAATCAATGAATTTCTCTAAGGATGCCAGCATACCCAAAAACATTGATTCTGGTACTCTGCATTGAAATGTAGAGGTCACCTTCAATCACTGTCTCCTCCCCCATAACTGAAAACTCACAAGAGCCTTGCATTGAGGGTATTTACCGTCAACTCAGCTTAAACTCAAGCAGGTGTCAGCCCAGATCTCTAAGTCAGACTCAGGGAATGAGGAGCCAGTTCTCCCAGCCACACAGGATACAATCAGCCCCTGCTCTTACAGTTCTCCCTCCTGTGACCTGACATGGGGTTGATGGTGCACTCTGAGGACTTCTTTGGGCAGAGCGTTCATAACTTCCTTTCTCCTGTCGTGCTTGGGTTTCAAGTTAGCGCTGGTGAAAGAAAGGAGAGTAATGGCGGTACCGGGAGAAATCCAGCAGTCTCAGCACTCACGGTCTTGCTCTGAGAGCGAGGAGGCCTCTTCTGCAGTGAATACCAATGCTTGCCCCTTCTTTGAACTCTGATGGGTTGCGTGTGTGTGTCAAGTAGCCTCTGAACAAAGATGCTCAGACGTTTTTGTTCAGAGGCTACTGTACATACATAGGAAGTGTGAGTGATCCACGGAAGCCGTGGGGTTGGGAGGCATTGATTTAAGAGTGTGTGCGCTTCTTAAAGGTTGGGACCAGGTGAGTCGATCAGTTACCTTCTGAGGAGGCATGCCCCAAATGGTGATCTCCACCTGTAAACGGAAAAGAACACTCGTGTTTATTCAGCAGAGCTTATGCAGTGCCTTCTATTGCCGGGCCCTGTTGAGAATGCGACTCCGGCACAGCACACACATACCTGTTTTCAGGGAATTTACAGTCTTGTTGGGGGAGGGGACAGCCAAGCAGCATGAGGTGGAGGAAGGTGAATGTGTGTGCTTTGTCTAACAGTCATTAGCGCAATGGGGATGATACCAGGGAGAGGGAGACCAGCTTTTATTTCAGGGTCTGGGAGTCTATGTACATGCCTATGTGAAACACACACGGGCGGACAAGCTCACTGACACACATGCACACGCACACATGCCGTTGATACACACACGCACGGGCAACACACACTGATATGCACAAATGTGTGTGCAGGTGCATACACCATGTAGCATGTAACAAGCTTGTGCAACAAAAGGCAGGCAAGCACACATATAAACGTGCATACACACACACATTTACACCCGTGCAACACATAAAAGCAAATGCAACACAGAAGCACACATGCATTCAATGCACACATTCACACACACGCACATACCCACACATACGCACACACATATGCATACACACACACAGGCAACATAAGCACATATAAAGCATGATTTACCTAAACATACACCTGTAGAGACGTGTGCATATGCACATCCCGATGTGTGCACCTGTATGCAGAAACACATAAACACATTCATTCACACACAAATATGCACACATAAACACATCCGTGTGTATGTGCATACCTGTACTTATGCAATGTATACGTACACTCCACATGCACATATGCATATGTTATATTCATGCAGTACCCACGTGTTCATGTGGTAGCACACCCCTCAGTGCATGCACGTGGACACACATGGGAAACAGGCAATACATATGTGACCCAAGCACATATATGCACACGCAAATTCCACTTATACAAACATGCAGGCACTCAATCTGCCTGTGTGCACAGACACTTCCACACATGCACTCATTATCCACATGCATTTACACACATGATTACAAAATCCACATGCACACGTGGACGTTCATGTATACACAATACACACACATACCTTGCGAAAACACACATGCATACATACACACACGTGCACATACATGCACCCAATAACACCTGTAAGTGGGCCATGGTTCCTTTCAAGAAGCTAAGTCTTCATGGCATGCACAGCATCTCCCCCAGCACGGATGCCAAAGGAAAATGCACATTGGTCCCGGATGGCCAGTTGGCTGTTGTGCACTGGATAAAAGCGCCAGCGCCAGCTTCCCATCAGCACCCGGACAGTGTATTCCTTATTCACAAATGGACAGTTTTGCCACATTCTGTAAGACATCATTCCTTCACCATCAGTATTTCCATAAAGAGAGTTGACTCTACAGCTCACTTTCTTCAGCGTAGAAAAGAGACCATAAAATGCAAGACATGGCCGAGAAGTCCACATGACCTCACGGAAGCAAACGGGTCAGCAAACCTGAGTGACATGGTTTGAAAGGCTGCAGACACTCCTATGGGCTCTCCAGGGCCAGGGGAGGAGTGCAGGTGTCATCTCGCCCCTGTTTACTGTTCATGAGCCTGGTGGCGGAAGCTGCATTAGATGTGCGTCCCTGAGGGTCTGGGGGCCTCACGTAGATGGGAAAAGGTGTTTTCTTGGACATTCAAAAGACAAAAAGCCAGCAAATTTGTTTAAAACAAAAAAATAGGGTGAAACCGCAGGCCACAAATGGTAATCAAAGCCCATTAAAAAAAGAGTTGCTCACTGGGTGCTGGGTGCGGTGGCTCACGCCTATAATCCCAGCATTTTGGGAGGCTGAGATGGCTGGATCACCTGAGGTCAGGAGTTCGAGACCAGCCTGGCCAACATGGTGGAACCTCATCTCTACTAAAAATACCAAAACTTAGCCAAGCATGGTAGTGGGCGCCTGTAATCCCAGCTACTCGGGCGGCTGAACCAGGCAAATCGCTTGAACCTGAGAGGCAGAGGTTGCAGTGAGCTGAGACCGTTCCATGGCAGTCCAGCCTGGGCAACAAGAGTGAAAATCCACACACAAAAAAAAGAGTTTCTCCGGGTAGGGTGTGGTGACTCACACCTGTAATCCTCCCACTTTGGGATGCCATGGCTGTAAGACCACTTGAGCTCAGTTGCAGTCCGGCCTGAGAAACACAGAGAGACCCCATTTCTACTAAACAGAAATAAAAAAAATTAGCTGGATGTGGTGATGTGCACCTGTAGTCTCGGCTACTTGGGAGGCTGAGGCAGAAGGATTGCTTGAGTCCAGGAGGTGGAGGCTTCAGTGATTTATGATCACGTCCCTGCACTCTGGGCTGGGATAGAGTGAGAGTTTGTCTCAGAAAAAAACAACAACAAAAAAGTTCTTCTTTATTTTTCTAATGTGTTAAAAGCAATTTCTAAAATACAGATTTGAGATTAGAAAAAAATGCTTTGTGCTGATTTTGAAGTGGAATAACTTATATGGATGGTGGGTTCTATGGGCTGAACTGTGTCCCCCTCCAAATTCAGAGTGAGTGCTATCCCCCAGGGGATCAGGACTGTGACTGTGTTTGAAGACAAGGTATTTAAAGAGGTGATTAAAGTAGAACGAGGTCACTAGGGTGGGCCCTGCTCCAAAGGACGATAGTCCTTATGAGAAGACGAGGTGAGGACACAGGCACACGATGGCCCGGTGAGGACACGGGGAGAAGACCGTGTCTCCAAGCCCAGGAGAGAGGCCTCAGGAGGGACCAGCCCTGCCCATACCTGGATCTCAGACCTCCACCTCCAGCCTCCAGGACTGTGGGAGAATCAACGTCTGCTGTTTCTAAGCCACCCAGTCTATGGTGTTCTGTGACAGCAGCCTGAAATGGACTAAGAGATATCAACAGAAGAGGAGGTGAAAACACAGACACAGAGGGACAACCCAGTGAGGGCACAGGGAGAAGACGGTGTCTACAAGCTCAAGAGCGAGGCCTCAGGAGGAGCCAGCCCTGCCCACACCTGGATCTCAGACCTCCAGCCTCCAGGATGGTGGGAGATGAAGCCCCTTTGGTTTCAGCACTCCAGACCGTACGTACTACTTTGTAGGGCGGCCTTAGCGGACTAAAACAGCGGGTATGAGAGAAACCTGGCCATTAGCATTTAAAAACAGCGAGTGAAACATGTTCTCCCCACTCTCTGGAGGGAGGCCAGCCAAGGTCAGCTCTCACCCCTCACTGCTCTGGACGAGGCATGAATAGGCCTTGCATGCTTTGCTGCTGCATCTGAGGAGCAGCTGGGTGACTCATCCCTGGCAGCCGCCTGCGTCCCAGCAGGTACCTCCTGCTAATGCTAATCCCAGCGCTGACTCAGAGCCTCGCTCTGTGGGGGCTGGAGAGCAGGTGTCCCGGCCGAAAGAGAAGCACGGGCATCATGCCCCCAACCTGGCTGTGCTTCCATGGGGTCCTGGCCCTGCCAAGGAGCACAGGGACATTTCCCTTCAGTTTTGCCCCAGGGATAGAGCAGCACCCTGATCTGTATGTTTTGATCCATTCGGGACCCAGATAATGGTCTCCCCAAAAATGGCACAGCGCAGACATGGGAGACTAAGTTCACAGGAAAACAGGAAATGATTAGGACTCTCAGGAGAACCGCTTGATGAGTGATTTCTTTCTAATTCATGAGTATGCCAGAGAACAAAAGTACACGTCCTGAACAGCTCCTCACAGACAGTGGATTTCCACAGAAGGTTCATTCCTAGGCTGTAGGGATGTGGGGACAGCTCACTTCATATAACACACTCCAAGGTGGGCCGGATGTGGTGGTGCAGGCCTGTAATTCCAGCACTTAGGGAGGCCAAGTGGGAAGATCACTGAAGCCTGGTTCAAGACCAGCCTGAGCAACATGGCAAAACCACCTTTGCAAATATCATAACCGAGGCAGTGATGACAGTGAGAGAGGTTAGACCTGACCGACTCCATGTTGCTTGTAACCCTTAAGCTGTCCTTGTTCATTGCTGGGCATAGGCCATACTAACTTTAGGAGAAAATTTAGTTTATGGTTTGACTCTGAAACAAAACTGACAATAGCCTTTTCCTGAAAACACCTGCCCCTTGCCTGGGGACCTATCTGCCTTTGTAGGACTAACAAATTAGCTACACCATGAGAAACCACGGTTTAGTGCTGGGCCCAGTGACTCACGCCTGTAATCTAGCACTTCACGAGGCCGAGGCGGGTGGCTTGCCTGAGGTCAGGAACGTGAGACCAGCCTGACCAGTATGGTGGAACCCCGTCTCTAATAAAAAAAATACAAAAAGTAGCTGGGCATGATGGCGTACACCTGTAGTCCCAGTTACTTGGGAGGCTGAGGCAGGAGAATTGTTTGAACCCAGGAGGCGGAGGATGTAGTGAGCTGAGATCACGTCACTGCACTCCAGTGTGGGCAAGAGAGCAACACTCTATCTAAAAAAAAAAAAAAAGAGTCCGGTTGTGGTGGCTCATGCCTGTAATCCCAGCACTTTGGGAGGCCGAGGTGGGTGGATCACGAGGTCAAGAGATCGAGACCATCCCGGTCCAAGGAGGTGAAATCCCGTCTCTACTAAAAATAGAAAAATTAGCTGGGCATGGTGGCGCGTGCCTATAGTCACAGCCACTCGGGGGAGGCTGAGGCAGGAGAATTGCCTGAACCCAGGAGGCGGAGGTTGTGGTGAGCCGAGATCACACCATTGCACTGCAGCCTGGGTAACAAGAGCGAAACGCTGTCTCAAAAAAAAGAAAAGTAGGTGTTTTCTATTGTGTTTGATGTAAGTGAGTGAGCTGCACCCCTAAAGAATTTCCCGTTCGTTGGATTTCCGTTCGTTGGATGCTCTCTCTCTCTAATCTGTTGTATACTTCTTTGCTGTTTATGTTTACCTAAACAGAGGTGTGTGTGTATGTGTGTGTGTGTATGTGTGCATGTATGTGTGTGTTTATGTGTGTGTATGTGGTGTGTGCATGTAAGTGTACGTGTATGTGTGTGTGTGTGTGTATGTGGCGTGTGTGTGTGTGTGGCTGCACCCACCATCCTGGGGAACAGAAACTGGACAGCTCAGCACAAATAGGTTCTCAGAAGACCAGGCACCAGCACAGAGCATCCCACTCACCAAAAACTCCAGGTAGAAGGCCCAGGGCAGAATGCAACCGGGATCCCAGAGAGATAACCCCTCCCACCCTCCGCCCACCACCGCGTGCCCAGATGTGGGGGTACCGTGTGTGTCGCCGGTGTCATAACTGGAGTAACCACCGCTGCCGCCTCCTGTTAGAGAAGGTAGGATGTTGAGGGATCCGAGCATGGAATTTCCTGCAGGTGGTCTGTCCAGCTCATTGGGAGTCGAGTGACTGTGTCATTCCCAAGAGAGCTCCAAAGAGTGATCAGCATTGGGGAGAGTCAAGGGAGGCCACACCAAAGCTTCCTCGTCCCTGTGGGAAAACTCAAGCCAACACTGAGCTCGGGCTATAAAACACACTTTGCCATCACAGAACAAACACTTACTCTGCCAACTCCAAATTCCTGCAGGCTAACCCTCTTCCTGCTGAGAAACCGATATGAGAACAGCCACAGGGAGGCAGGATTAGAAGGACCTTCCAGAAGATGGTCTCAATCACAAATATCTTAGTTTCTCTTCTCAAAAATAACTAGTTATTTTCGTTTATTCCTGATTGTAAATGTCATAAATTCCAAGACAATGCTCCTTATTTACTGCAAGCAAACGTGGCAGAATAGATGACTGGATGCAATCAGGGTGTCTGAAGGATACATGCCCAGCTCTGCCTTGCAAAATATCTAGGACAAGTCCTTTATGTCTTCTAAAGGAGAGCTGCAGAACTAAACACACCAGAAACCTCATGTGCTTGAAACTAAAGCCTCAAACGTCACACTCTTCAGCCCAGTGTTGCATGCATCTCTGCCTCCTATTGTCCATGCTTGCATTTCCATATGAAAGATTCTTGGTAGACATTCACCTCCAATTACAGAGAAAACTTTATATTAGAAGGTTTTACATATGTCTGTGTGCATAAAGATATATGTACACATATAAAGGTGTATATACACACACACACATATACCTAAAAGTATATATACACATATGTAAAGGGACATATATACACATATATAAAAAAGTATGCATACATATATGAAGGTACATATGTATCTATAATATAGAAACATGTAAGCTATATATGCATACAAATATTAAAAGATATGAACAAATGTGTGCATGTACAAAGAATGCATATATACACATAAAATATATACTTATATATTTACACATATAAAGACTATATACGGATATATACATATATCTCTATATAAAGATATGCACATAAAGACATAAGTTTGTATAAATATACATATACCTATATAAAAGCACATGTACATAAAGGTATATATGTACATATATACAGATATATAAATAAAGGTATATATTTATATATGTATAAAACATACATTTACATAATGTACACAAATATCAAAATGCATATAAAATGTATATGTACATGAAGATATATTAAAAGATACACATATAGACCAGCTGTGGTGGATCACGCCTGCAATCCCAGCACTTTGGGAGGCCAAAGTGGGTGGATCACTTGAGGACACAAGTTCGAGACCAGCCTGGCCAACATGGTGAAATCCTATCTCTACTAAAAATACAAATATTAGCCAGGCATGGTGGAGGGCGCCTGTCATCCCAGCTACTCAGGAGGCTGAGGCAAGAGAATCACTTGAACCTGAGAGGCAGAGGTTGCAGTGAGGAGAGACTCTGTATTCCAGCCTGGGTGACAGAGCAAGACTTCAGGTCAAAAAAAGAAGGAAAGAAATTAAATAAAATATACATCTACAGATATATAAAATATGTACTTATGTAAGTGTGTATACATATATAAAAGCTGTATATAGATATATAAAGATATTTGTAAACATATATAAAGACATGTACATACCTACACAAAGATACATACACATGTATATATAACTTTGTGTGTATATATATTTATAATGTAAATAAAGGTATATACACAAAAAGGCGTCAGTGCACATAAATTTATACACACATACAAAGATATATACATGTGTATATATAAAAGTGAATCTATATACACATACACATATAAAAGCATATACACATAAAAGTATATATGTACATATATAAAGATATGTATAAGTAAAGGGATATACTTAATTATGTATGTAAAGATGGGTATACATAAATATATATATAAAATATAAATATGTATATAAAATGTATATGTATTCAAAGATACACATAAAGATATATTAAAAATATATAAAGATATATTAAAAAATATACATATAGATACATAATTATATACAAAAGCCTATATTGGTATATAAATATACAGACATACACAAATATAAAACATATACATGTATAAAGATATACAAGCATGTGTACAAAGTCAGAAATATATAAAAACATAAAAACCCACATCCATGCATATGTAAATGTGTTTATGTATATTTGAAAGCATATAGAGACACAGATACGGACGTGGAACATTCGTGTACACACTGATGGAGGGGGCTAAGCACGCATGTGCATGAAGCTGTGTCGAGGCACAGACGGTCACACTTGCACATGTGGAGTCTGAGCAGAAATGCCCACACGTGTGTCCATGGAGCCTCCAGTTGAATCTGTTCATTTTGTTTCCATCCCGTCACCAGCCTGGAGAGGCAGACAGATGCCCAGACCGCGACGCCACTGATGCAGCCACGGGGCCTTCTGCGTCAGCCCCTGCATCAGCCTATCGTCCACCCGTGACCAACTTTGCCCCTGGACTGGGCGTCCCTCTCTCCCCAACCTCAGGCCTCTCACCGCCCTCTCTGAGCAAATCCACGTGTCCCTCCTGGGGAGGCTCAGCACCTACCTGCAGGTGGCCTGGGCCTGGGTGGGTAGTGTCAGTCATTGCGGTCCCCATCATTGAAATAACCTGTGGGCAGAGCACACGGCATTGCTAACGCGTCCTCTCCAGAGGTCCCCTTCACAGCAGGTCTGCGTTGGGGACACTGGGGCAGGTTTTGGAGGACAGCATTGCGATGCCGATGCCAACGGGCTCTTGGCAGGATGCCCGCAGGCACCAGGCATTAAATGACCTCGTGGGCAGCCGCCCAGCCTGTAGGAGGCATGTGCAGGGCCCAGGACCGCGGCAGGTGGCCTCAAGGTGTGGGCTCTCGCCCCTCTTCTGCTCAAAGCCCTCCCAGGGCTGACCGTGAGCTGGGGTATAGCTCAGGCTGTGGTGTCTTCCTGCTGCCTGGACCCCTCTCTCAGGGTGCCCCGTCTCACAATGCCCTGCACTTCCCTCCTTCCCTGGATGTCCCCGTTGCTCCTGCTCTGTACCTTTGCACGCCCCTTTTCCCTCTGCTCCCTCCTGGCCTTCCTTCCTGGATGAGCCGGTGTCGCCTGTCACCCCGTCCCTGTCCAGCTCTCCTTCTGTCCCGCTCCCACCCAGGCCGTCCCCTGCTCAGAATCCTCCACCATCATCTCCTATCCTGCCCCGAGTCCTGAAACAAGCCTGAAGGAGACTCGGGGCTTTTCCTTCTCTCCTGACGGCTCCTCTTGGCCCTTCAACTAGGCACCCGCCCCGGGGCTTCAGCATCACCATAGGCAGGCTCCTAACCCCCTGCCTGTAGGGAAAAGACCCCATAACTGCGGAGGCAGGAGCAGAAGGCCTCAGCCTATCTCCCTATATATAATGAAGAAGAAAGTAACTAGAAATGAACAGTAGTTCGTAGTTAGTAGTTACTCATATGCAATCTTAGTTATTTATAGGTGATCTTAATTCTTTTACTAATGCCTCTCAGGTTGGAAGTGTGAACCTGGGGTGACATCGTGGAATGAATGACCCTAAGGCAAGATGCTTTATGTCCTCTGTCACGCCTGCAAAAAGAGCTGCTGGAGGGTGCCTCAGCTGTGCGACAGTGTCAGCGCTGTGAAAGCACCTGCTGTTTAGCCAGCCAGGGAAGGAGATGTCCAAGATGGCCAAGACGTCTCCTTCCTCAAGGGAGTGAGGAGAAAACTCCGCTTCTCCAAGCTCTCGTGGTAAGCCTGACCGCTGTCAGGGAGGCCCGCGGACATCCCGGGACTTAATTGTCCCTGTGTGGTGCTGTGCTTCAGGGGTCATGTTCCATGGCTACTCATGCTCTGCTTCTGCACCTGGTTCCCCTTTTCTTAGAAAAGATAATCAGTAATAGTAGCACAAACCTTAATGCTTTAGTTCTTTCTTGGTAAGTATGGGAAAGGTGCTGCATTATGCTCCTTACCTCACTTGGGGTGCCATCAATTCCTGAGCCCCCACCTGTATGCCATGCCCTATTTTGCCCTGTCCCCAGTCACCCACCACCAGGACCACGCCCTACCTATGCCCTACCTTCCCTGCCCCCAGATTTGCAACTCAATAAAAGTCAGGGCGTCCCAGCATTTGGGGCCACTGCTGGTCTCCACGATCTGAGTAGCTGTGGACCCCTGGGCCCAAACTCTCTTTTCTCAATCTCCATGTCTTGTGCCTTTTATTTCTACAATTTCTTGTCTTCAAACCAGCAGGGAGGGGCTCACAGAGCCCCATAGGGCTGTACCCTACACCTGCCCTCCCCTGGTTCACCCGTTGGCACTGGCTGATTCCCCAGGCAGAATTCCAGCTCCCCTGGTCCCCACAACCCATTCCCCTTTTCCCTATCGAGTTCCTGTGCAACTATCTTGTCTGAAACCAACACCATCTCCGTCTCTCTCGCCTCCCAGGGCACCACCGCCGCTGCCCACCCCAGTAGACTTGTTTTATCCATTTTGGTCAACTGTGTGTGATTCTGTCTTTGAATTTTTCTTTCAGCAAATGGAATGATCATAACCCTCTCAGTTCCCTCATAGTCGCTCTCGTCCATTTTTTTTCTTTCTTTTTGCCATCCTTCTGTTTTGGGGTAGGAGCTATGTATCCACAATTTGTGCTCTCTGACCAGAATTTCCGCATCTGTAGATCCAATGGCATGATCTCCACTCACTGGAAACTCCACCTCCCGAGCTCAAGCGATTCTTGTGCCTCAGCCTCCTGAGTAGCTGGGACTACAAGCCAGGTTATGCGTGTATTGAAAATATTTCACGCAGGGAGCAGTGGCTCACACCTGTAATCCCAGCACGTTGGGAGTCCGGGGTGGGCAGATCACTTGAGGTCAGGAGTTTGGAACCAGCCTGGGCAACATGATTAAAACCTGTCTCTACTAAAAATACAAAAATCAGCTGGGAGTGGTGGCGAATACCCTATAATCCCAGCTACTTGGAGGCTGAGTCACGAGAATCTCTTGAACCTGGGAGGTGGAGGTTACAGTGAGCCAAAATCATGCCACTGCACTTCAGCCTGGATAAGAGTGAGATTCTGGGTCAAATAAATAAATAAATCAAAAGATACAGGAACATATACTTGCATTGTATGCAAATACTACACCATTTTATATCAGGGACTTCAGCACCTGTAGATTTAGGTGTCTGCAGGGAAGCAGGGGTCCTACAACTAGTGCCCACGAACAATAAAGGGTGACTGTATTTGCATATTAAAGTTTCTTCCCTGGTGATATAAGCAGCAAGGAGCCTCCATTTGACAGCTAATCTGACTTTTTAGAGCTCAAAGTCGTAACATTATTATTGTTATTTAAAAAATGTAGACATCGTCTAATTTACACATTTTTAAAGGTTATGCTTTTTCTTTGAGATGAAGTCTCACTCTATAGCCTACCTGGAGTGCAATGGCGCTATCACTGCAATCTCCACCTCCCGAGCTCAAGCGATTCTCATGCCTCGGCCTCCTGAGTACCTGGAGGTTACATAACAGGCGAGGTCATGCTTTTCTTATCTTATCTAAGAAAAATCTCCTAACCCTGAGATTATAAGACATTTCCCTCTATTTTTCAATAAAAAACCCCATTATTTTCTTTTACATTCAGGTTTGTAATCCACCTGCAGTTTATTTTCGAGTATTCCATGAGGCCAGGCGCGGTGGTTCACACCTGTAATCTCAGCACTTTGGGAGGCCGAGGCGGGCAGGTCACCTGAGGTCAGGAGTTTGAGACCAGCCTGGCCAACTTGTTCAAACCCCATCTCTACTAAAAATACAAAAATTAGCCGGGCATGATGGCACGTGCCTGTAGTCCCAGCTGAGGCACAAGAATTGCTTCAACCCAGGAGGAGAAGGTTGTGGTGAGACAAGATGGCACCACTGCACTCCAGCCTGGGCGAAAGGATGGCACTGAGGTTGATGACAGTTGATCACATATCCACAAGAAGAGCCGGTTGGCTCAGCCCTGCCTCCGTAGAGTTTGCTTTCTTCTTTCATTGTTTTATAGCCGCAACCTCTCTCAAATGCCAAGACACAATTTAGTCACTCTGTTTCCAGCCCTTCTGAACCTATGCATTGCTCAATTCCTCTGTCTCTGAGCTACGGCTTTCTTTTTTTCTTTCTTCTGAGACAGGATCTCACTCTGTCACTCAGGCTGGAGTGCAGTGGCATGATCTTGGTTCACTGCAACCTCCACCTCCTGTGTTCAAGTGATTCTCCAGCCTCAGCTTCTGGAGTAGCTGGGATTACAGGCCCATGCCATCATGCCTGGCTAACTTTTGTATATTTAATTAGAGATGGGGTTTTGCCATGTTGGCCAGGCTGATCTTGAATTTCTGACCTCAGGTGATCCACCACCTTGGCCTCCCAAAGTCCTAGGATTACAGGCATAAGCCACTGCCCTAGAACAAAAGTTACCTTTTTAATTGAAAAATAAATAAATAAAATGAGGTGAAATTTACACATAAATTAACCATCTCAAAGTGAACACTTCAGGGGCATTTAGAACATTCATAACGTTGTGCAACCATCACCTCTGTGTACTTCCAGAACACTTTATTCCCTGAAAGGAGCCCTGGAGTTCATCAAGCAGTCACTCTCCCTTTCCCCTCCAGCTACTGGCGGTCACAACACTGCTTCGGGTCCTAGGGATTTGCCTGCTCTTGAAATTTCATATTCATAAAAATATATACTATGTGATCTTACATGTGTCTGGTTTCTCTCTCTTTCCAAAATGTTTCTGAGGCTGAACCACTTTGTAGCAATTATCAGTGCTTCATTCCTCTTCAAGGCTAAATAATACTCCATCATGTGGGTGGACCACATTTTGTTTATCCATTCCTTCCACTGATGAGCACGTGGGTTATTTCTATCTTTGAGCCATAATGAATAGTGCTGCTGTGAACATCTGCATACAAGTGGTTCTTGGAATACCTGTTTTCAATTATTTTGAGTATACATCTAGGAGTGGAATTATAGAATAATTCTGTATTTAACTTTTAAGGATCCACAAAAGTATTTGTTCACAGTGGCTGTACCATTTTAGACTCCCACCAGCAATGTGCAAGCATTCCAGTTTCCTCACAACCTTGTCAACACTTGTTATTTTCCATTTTAGATTTTACCCATCCCAGTGCTGCTTCCGTGTGGTTGTGATTTGCATTTCCCTAACCACCACATTTTGCTTTTAATATCTATTATCTGGTACAGTTCTTGCATCTCCTTAACACACCCCACAATTCTGTAAAACACCCTCAAGCATCCATCCATAAGCATCAGTTCAAGGACGTTGCCTCAGTTTCTCCCAGCCAAAGAGTCACTCACCTGAGTTTGGCTTCTTGGTGGGTTCTGTGAACAAAGAGAAAATAAATGCAATATGCATCGAAGATTCATCAGAAGCACAAAGAAAGGGCTGGGCACTGTGTGGCTCACATCTGTAACCCCAGCAGTTTGGGAGGCCAAAATGGGCGGATCACACTGTCAGGGGTTCAAGAGGAGCCTGGCCAACACAGTGAAACCTTGTCTCTACTAAAAACACAAAAAATTAGCCGGGTATGGTGTCAGCCTGTAGTCCCAGCTACTTGGGAGGCTGGTGCAGGAGAATCACTTGAACCTGGGAGATGGAGGTTGCTGCAGTGAGCGAAGATTGCGCCACTGCACTCCAGCCTGGGTGACAGTGTGAGACTCCATCTCAAAAAAATAAAAAAAAAAAGACAGGCCGTTAACACCCCGATGAAATATAAAAAGTAAGTGACAAAGTAAATGATCTGGACACAAATTCCATGGTCTATTTGGGTAAAAAAGCAAGTAAATACCCTTAAAATCCATTCAAAAACAATCTGCCCTTGAGGCTGTGAGGATGCCCACAGGATGGCCAAAGAAGCTGAGAGATCCAAGACAAGTGAGTGACCCCATCCCTAGACCACCACAGAGCCGGACAGTAGGTGGGGTGGGGAGGGAGGCAAAAGCAAAGAGGGAGAAAGCCTTGCAGCTTCTAGAATGATGTCTTTTCTCTCACTTTCATTCACGGATGTATTCATTCAGCAAATGTGTATCACGTGGATGTGGACATCAGGTCGGGAGTGCTCACCTTCACTGGCAGCTCTGCTAGGAGAATGGAGATGCACTGTGCTCTGGGAGGGGAGACTGGGGGCCACAGATTCAGATCGGGGTGCGGGACAATGACAGATATGAACTTAAGTGTAAGAAAAGCAGTAACTGAGTCGGGCATGCTGCTGTGTCTCTGTAATCCCAGCATTTTGAGAGACCAAGGTGGAAGGATTCCTTGAGCCCAGGAGTTTGAGGCCAGCCTGGGCAACATGGTGAGATTCGTCTCTACAAAAAAAATCAAAAAAAATGAGCTGTGCACGGGAAGCACACACCTGTAGTTCCAGCTACTTGGGAGGCTGAGGTGGGAGGGTTATTTGAGCCAGGAAGTCAAGGCTGTGTGGTAAGCTATGATGGCACCACAGCACTCCAGCCTGGGCAACAGAGCAAGACTCCCATCTCAATAAAATAAAATAATAAAATACTAGCATACTTCTAAACTATAGGCTTCAGAAGCACAGACCTACCTAGAAACGAGTCTGAGACTTTTAGAGACTGTGTAAACATTTGTCTCAAGGCGTCTGCAATCTCCTGTGAAGAAAAGAGCTCTCGACACCAAGAAATTCCAAACACCGGTGCAACCCAACTCCAAAGTAACTATGCAGCTGATGCTATTAGACCCAAGCTGCAAAGGGAAGGCTCCCCATGAAATATTGGCACTTACCAGGCTCATCAAGGGCATCTGCCAAGTCAAAGTCTCTTTGACCTATTGGGAGCAAACAGGTCACAAGTCACACCATGATGGAAAGGCCGGAATCCTCCTCGTTCGTCACCTCAGCCTGCTTCCCTCCTTCTGCAAGCCCAGGGTCACCAGAGCACTACTACAACTAACCATGAGCTATGTGGGAGATGCAACCACCACCTCTATCTACTCCCAGAACATACTTCTCACCCAAAGGAAGACCCCTGTCCCCATTCAGCAGTCACATCCCCTGCTGCCTCCCCAGCCCCTGACAACCACTAATCCACCTCCTGTTGGACTGCCTGATCCATGAATTGCCTGTTCTGCAAATTTCGTATAAATAGCATCCCACGATATGTGGTATTTTGTGCCTGGCTTCTTTCACTGAGCATGAGACTTTTGAGTTGCACCCACATTGCAACCCATGCCAGTATTTTATTTCTGCTCATGGCCAGGGAACTTTGAAGGAAGCCTCTCTCCGGGCACATAGACTTCTTTCCTGGACCGTTCCACTCACAGCTTAGGACTGGCATTTCTCCCATAAACACACACGCACACACGTGCACACACACATACATACACACATATACATGCATACACACATACACACACCTATACACACACATATACACATACATATACACATGCACACACATACACACACACACACTCATTCTCACACACATAAAGAGAGAATCTAGGTTGAGAGGGGCTGCCCTAGAAAAAGGTGAAGCAGAACAATATGAGGATCCTGGATCCTTGAGAGACTGTATGGAGCAGAGGACACCTTTGCCACCTCACCTGGCTGCAATGCAAACAAGAGATAAAGTTTTAATTCTTTGGGGGCTGTTTGTTACAGCAGCCAGCCTACACTGACAAATACGGGGTCAGGAAGCAACCTGTGTGCACAAGCTGAGGTTCCCACCTGATCCAAAAGCAGTTAACCTAATGAATGTGTCTGCAGCAGAGATGAGAACATTCGCGTCTTTGTGACTCATCATTGAAAACACACTGCAGCATTCTTGAGGATGAAGTGTCCCTCCTGCTGACATATATGTGCACCTTGCCTTTTGTTCCTCCCTTTCCCCCTGCCACTATTACCCCGTAGAGAAAACACCACCAGAGAACTTATCGGGAGTAGAGGATGCAGGCGGGAGGGCATCGAATCAGCGCTTCTTATGCATTGAGTTCTGTTGCAGTAATGCCAGGCATCTAAGCAGCTCATCCACCCACCCAAGGATGTTGCCATCACCAGCATGCACATTACCCAAAGGAAGAACCTGAGCTTCTGGGAGGTTTAGGGCAAGGCAGGAGCACAGTCAGAATTTGCAGAATTGTCCAGGGGGAACAACCTCTTGCTCAAACACTAAGCCCTGGAGGAGGCTAAGCCAGGGGGAACCAGGTAAGCCATAGGTGCTGGGTCTCCACCACCTCTGATGTCTGTCTCTCTCCCAGAAATCTGTCTGCCTGGGTGTTGCTTGCTCTGGAGGAAGGTTCAAGGGCTACAACATCGATTCGTACAGCCTGTGGCATGGCTCCATCCAGATGCCACCAGGGCAGGCTTTGCGGCACCTTGTGGAGGTAATGAGGGCCTCTCCGGAGCAGAAGGTGTATCCCCAGGCAGGAGTGCACACAGCTGCTCCTGGTCCCACACAGCCGTTTCCTTCCAACTTGGGGAGGACACACGTCCCTCTCAGATGACATTCTCTGCCGCCAGTGATTGCTACAGGTTCATCTTCAAGAACAACCCGGCTCTTCTTTGCTCCCTCCAGCTCTCTCTGTATTTTTGGGTTTTTTTTTTTTTTTTTTGTATGTTTGCTTTTTTAGACGGAGTTTTGCTGTGTCACCCAGGCTAGAGTGCAATGGCACAATCTCGGCCCACTGCAACCTCCACCTCCTGGGTTCAAACAATTCTCTTGCCTTAGTCCCCTGAGTAGCTGGCATTACAACTGCATGCGCCATCACGCCCAGCAAACTTCTGTATTTTTGGTAGAGATGCGGTTTCACCATGTTGGCCAAGCTGTTCTCGAACTCTTGATCCCAACTGATCTGCCTCCCTCGGCCTTCCAAAGTGCTGGGATTACAGGCGTGAGCCACTGCGCCTGGCCTCCTCCAGCTGCCTTGGCCATCATTGTCCAAGCTGCTGAGACTGGGCTGCAGGAGAGGAGCCACGTCAGCCTCTTGGATCCATGAGATATTTCCCCTCCAAGACTGTCAGCAGTTCCAGTCAAGACAGTGGTCTAGGACCCCAGAGTTCAGCACCCTGATAATTTAGACTGCAGTCCCCATCCACTGTTGAGCAATCTCAGCCCAACCCAGCAATTCCATGCATCCGCTAAGCAATCACATTACAATCTCCTCCAGTCTGTGTGCCTGGCCCCTCCCTCCTATTTCCTTAAAGAACCACAGGTGCCTCCCCTCCCAGACCCTTCTCTCTGAAATGCAGTTGCATAAACCAGGCAGGTGGCAGCTCTATTCACCCTGCAGCGGGCGGCCAGGTTGCAGAGAGGCTCCTCCAGCTTTGAGATGGTCCTGATGGCCCTGGGTGGTGGCAGGAATGGGAGGGGGTGTGGAGTGTCACAGAGGAAGTGGAGGAGGGTGGTTTGGGACTTTGCTAGGTCTCAGGGGTGGCACTGCAGCAACCAGAAGTTGCTGCATGTGTGACTCACACACTCGAGGCTGCTGTCGGTCACACCCAGACCTCGTTACATAAATCAGGCAGACTCTGGCAGCATCAGGCGGCCTGGGTACTGAGACAGTCTCTAGTCCTGCCCGCCAGGCAGGAAATCCATCTCATAGGCAGGGCCCCCTGTCCTCTCTCCTCTCCAGGCAGGTTGCAGCAAAGCCACGGTCGGGTTCCTCATGGGCTGGGAGACTACGCTGACTCCGGGGTGTCTGGCTCCAAGCTCGGGAGCCACATGTGATGCTTTTGCTTTCCCGGGTTCATTTTCCATGGGGCAGGAACAGGAGATGTGTTTCCCATTTGCTTCGCTGATTTGCCTCAGTGAACTCAGCAGCTTTTAACCAAATCCTCGTTTGTGTTCTGGGATTCTCAACCTCATTTTGTGTTGGCTTTATGACATTGGTCCTCAGTTGCTGGCGTCCTGGAGATGTCAATTAAATGGCTCCGGTAGCTGGGTGGGAGGGCCCAGTAAAGCTGCCCTTGGGACCCTCCAGAGCAAAACCACGAGATTTCGGCTTGGAGGCCTTCTTCTGCAGACCTCCCAGACCCTTCTCTCTGAAATGCAGTTGCATAAACCAGGCAGGTGGCAGCTCTATTCACCCTGGGAATTTCACCCTCCTGGGTTCAAATTCCAACCCTGCCAGATTCAAAGATGCTTCTTACTGGACTTTGCCGGCTGCTGGCATTCTTTACATGGATTCAGACCTACAAGTTGTTCGGGCTCAGGAAACCATACCTGAGTGCAGGCCTCAGCAGCAGCCTCCGAAGCAGAAGTTTCTCTCAGAACTTTTCCAGCCCTCCTGTGTCTGAGTCCCGTCCTCCCCCGAGGCACTATAGGAACTAGAATATCTCTTCCCCCAGGCGGGTCCTAGAAACAAGAATGCCTTTCCCCCAAAGCCAGCCACAAAACCTGAAGACAGGACCCTAACTTTCCCTCCATCCTATCTGTATCAAGACTGGCCACAGGGAAGTTCCCTGACATGCCTGCTTTGGGTGTCCTAAGACCCCCATCCCAGAAAGGGTCCTGCCCCCATGCCCAGAAGGAAGGACCACTGCTCCGAGAGGCCAAGAGGAGTGTAGGCAGACAATGCAGTCTCCCCCGAGTGGCATGTGCACATGGTCCCTCAGGACCTGGATGACACGCGGACTATGCGTCAGCAGGTCTGGCTAGGCTGAGGACACAGTGTTTCTCATCAGCTCCTGGGGGATGTTGAGGCTGCAGATCCATACATCTCACTTTGCAGGGCACAGACTTGGCAATGGCTTCCCGGAGTTGCTACAATAAAATCAGACTGGGCGGCAGGTTAGACAACAGCCTGGATTCTCCCACAGTCCTGGAGGCTGGAGGTCCCAGATCCAGGTGTGGGCAGGGCCGACTCCTCCTGAGGCCTCTCTCCTGGGCCTGCAGATGCCATCTTCTCTCTGAGTCCTCACGTGGTCATCCCTGTGTGTGTCTGTGTCACCTCCTCTTCTTATGACGTATCTTAGTCCGTTTCAGGCTGGCATCACAGAACACCATAGGCTGGGTGGCTTAGAAACAGCAGGGTCTTATTCTCCCAGAGTCCTGGAGGCTGCAGGTCTGAGATCAGGTGTGGGCAGGGCTGGCTCCTCCTGAGGCCTCTCTCCTGGGCTTGGAGACACCGTCTTCTCCCTGTGTCCTCACAGGGTCATCCCTCAGTGTGTGTCTGTGTCTTCACCTCCTGTTTTTATAAAGACCTCATTGAACCCTTCTCACCCGTCTAGAGACCCTCTCTCTAAACACAGTCATGTTCCGAGGTCCCGGGGATTAGGCCTTCAATGTGTAAATTTCGGAGGTGCAAGACTCAGCCCTTAACAGAGATAACTCCCTCACCTCAATAGGAACGTGTTTGTCTCCTGGGGCTGCCGTAGCAAAGTCCCACGGGCCGGGCAGCTTAAATAGTAGATGTTGATTCTCCCAAGGTCCTGGTGGTTGGAGGAAGGGCGAGATGAAGGTGTGGGCGGGTGGCTCCTCCGGAGGCCTCTGTCCTTGGCTTGTGGATGCCGTCTTCTCCCTGAGTCTCCATGAGGTGCTCTGTGTGCGTGTCAGTGTCCTCACGTCTTCTTTTTATAAGGTCCACAGTCCAGCTGGATCAGGGCCGCACCTGGTGACCTCATTTTACCTGAATCGCGTTTTTAAAGACCATGTCTGCAAACACAGTCTCACTGGGAGGTCCTGAGGGCTTTCGTTTATAACAATGAGGAGGGTACGATTCGGCTCACGACAGATTTAAATCACGGGACGTAGTCGGCTGCAATGGGCGTGCCGTTGGACAGCCTGGGTCAGAGGACACAGCCAGGGTTTGGGTATCGGGACAGTTTC